CTCGGAACATTACGCACCTCCGTTTACCGCAAAGAAACATATGAAGAAATAATTCTGCACTATGAGAGCAACAGTCCGATCTCTCACAAGCGGAGTACTGTCAAAAGTCTGATACATCGAGCAAAAACACATTGCTCTGACGAAGGAAGCTACAAAGTTGAACTAAACTACCTATTCGAATTATTTTCCCAGACCGGATACCCTAGAGATTTCGTACGTCGATGCATGAAACAACAAGAGATAAAAACAAAAGAACTAAATAGTTCCAATCAAGCGCCCAAAGCAAACACTTGGTGAATTATTCCTTACATCAGGAATGTGTCTGAACTTGTTGAAAGACACTCGAGGAAACAACAGATAAAAGTGCGCACAAGCCGACGACTACTTTACGCACCTAGCTTGTACACCCTAAGGATAGGGTTGGCTATCTCGATAGAAAAGAAGTCGTCTATAAGATCCCATGCGATGCCTGTGATGTCGTATATTGTGGCCAAACGGGAAAATTTGCCTCTACACGCATCCACGAGCATCAACTTGCAGTTAAGAGGCGAGACCACTTGTCTCAAATGGCCATGCACACTCTTGTTACTGGGCACAATTTCGCATGGGACAAAACTCGCATCGCCGGAGTTTGCCCATCTAAAAAAGGCCGAGAGTTTCTTGAAGCCATGCACTCCGATGAGTCATGCATCAACAGGCATATCGAGTTAAATGCCACGTACAAGAATCTCAGAGAAAAGTGGAAGAGACGAATGCCGATCAATACGGACTGACACATACGACGGCATCTTACTAGCTGAGGCACCAAATGAGTATTGATTTTGTAGCACGTTTGAAATTTTAATTGTTTTCTGCACATTTACTCTAGTCTGACGACGACACGGGGAACCGACGTCGAAAATTTACTCAATAAAGTTTTCTCCCTTTCCCAAAGAACGTATTTGATTTCAAATTATATTTCTTGGGATGCCTGCGTTCCGATTCCCAGTTATCTTTGTATATTGCTCATCTGATGCATGAAAGTTACAAAATAGTCATCTCATCTAGGAAAATGAAGACCCTCTGAAGCAATCAAATACCAAATACCATAATCGAACAAAAACTACTCAAACTATTGATGCAATGTCAAAGTCAGGTCGGGTTTGAATGTTTGATGAAGGATATGGAACATAGTCAATCAAAGGAACATAATTAATAAGTCGTAAACTCCGCGAACAAATGACTTTATGGCAATTCAACTGCTTTTTCCCTATTAAAGGGACTTAATTGAATGCTTTTAAACTTCAATCAAATAATAGGACTCCGTGTGGTAAGTTAAATTACTAAACTACACTGATATCTGTCAGGTAACACCTATGCTTGAACTGAAGAATAACTCATGCGCACGATAATAATGGACGCGATAACAGCGAAAAATGGGTGTTACTATCAGAAATGAACTGCATTTTCGTCCTGTTTTACTGGTCAAAATCTGCCTGCCCTTTTGTTTGCTAATACCAGCGGTCGACATTTCTATGTGATTGGCTGGATAGGCAGCCAATGAGCGGTTAGTTTCTCGGACAGGAAGGAAAACTCGTAACTAACGTGGTAAATGCTCCTTTCTCGCTATTGCCTGATGTGCGTCGATTTGTCTCACAGAGATCTGCCCTACACCTGCCCCTAAGTCCTTTTTATTTATTATATGATTTGTTTTTGGTTATTTTTTGAGAGACTGCTGCACCACATTCAGTCAGCTATTTTGTTTAATGTAACTTACATCATGCCTCTAATTTGAAATGCATCTGTTATAAAAATCGCTCTCCTATTTTAACTATTTAGAGAACTGTTAGCTATTACTTGTCTTCAGATGCAGTCAGTGAGCTTTGTCCCTTGCAATAGCCGGGCGAGTAATTTAGCCGTTATGTAACAAAGTATAAGTCCAGACAAGTTTACTAAAAAATCATTTTCTAGTTTTACGAGTTAAGACTGGAAAGCAGAAAGAAGGATTAGAGACGTCTGGATATCTGCAACTTGTAAAAATGTTTATGTTCAGATGCAATATGAGGTTATTTAGACAAGATAAGTGTTGGACTTAAAGTTGATTACGGGAAGCGAAAATCGAAATTCTTGTGTTTAAGCACGTGAACCGACATTCCACTAATAAGTAGGCAGAAGCCATATATTTCCCCGAAATATATCACCTCCTTATATTGAGAATTTAGAGATTCCTGTTAATGGTCATTGCCTGGGTTGACTTATCTCTGTCAGGATTGCCTGAAATTCTTTCGGATAGGGAAGTGAACAGACACCCACTATGCGATGCGTAAGAAACAAATCACAATTCAAACTGCGCGTTTCCTTCACGCGCAACCTACGCTCCGACACATATGCCAAAAGCCTTAGATTTACTGAAAGAGGAAAGGCATCGCATCCCGATCATTAACTCGGGAGTCGTGTGGAGGCAGAAAAAAAACAACTTCCTGTTATGTTTTCACATATGTCATCCAGATAGATGATTAAATAGCAGCATTTTTTCAAATAAGACATATCTTGTGATTTTGGAGGACACGTTTATAGGCCTAGAACACAGGTATAGAAACGCCGTATGACAACTGATTTCGAGGCAAAATACGGCAGTGCCAATTTCCGTTTCCTAAGCCTAAACATAAACCTCAACTTGGCCATAATCGTAATTGTAGCCCTATCTTAAATCTTTCACCTCCCCTTTGAAATTTAGAGCAAGGTTACCTGTATGGAGGGCGAGGGGGGGGGGTACGGATCCCTGCGTCCAACACGCATGAGTAATAAAATCTAGTCATCGGACAACCAGAATTCTATGCGACCACATTGTCGCTCGCTAGTCCGTATCCTTCGCTTATCTCTGACCCTTATAAAATCAGACTCAGTAGTGTATAATTGGCACCTTTCAGGTCTTTGACTCTTCTTTGCAAGTGCTCCACCGCTTTCCCAATCCGCAGCTAAATTCTAATTCCGCACGTTTGCTTGGCAATACGCCGCACCGGGCATTGATTTTTTGCTGCCTAGCAATCTTTGCCTGGGGCGTTAACTCCCATAGGCCAAACCCTGGGCATATTACTCATCAGCTCAAAATCTAGGGCGTGGTGTTGGGTTTAGCGTCTTTATTTTCGTCCCTTGTTGTTTTTTCTCTTTTATGCCGATCTTTTCAGAACGATTGATTCCTAACCATGAAAAACAGATTTTTGTTTAATTCCTTGGAGACACATGATTTACGGCTAATCTACTGAGTGTCATGGATTCCATTCAAAAAGACATAGAAAACTGTAACATTGTCAAAACTAACGAGCATAGTCGATTGTTATTTTCGCAGGTACAAGAACGCCGTTTTTTGAAATACTTCTGTTAACTGCTGCTCTGATGGACTAAATAAGATTTCAAACGCTTTTCGCAAGTTTCGGCTTTTGGCATGTACTAAAGTCATTTAAAACCCACGACCGGAAAAAAAATTTCATGTTTTCACTGACTTTATTTAAAATGTGATTTAATGCATTCAAAAGGCATTGACGGAAGATCAACACTCAGAGAACTAATTACTTTCTATCGTTCTTTCGCAATATCTTGTTTCAACTTTCCAGACTCGCGAACTCGAGAAAATCGGGCAACTGATAGTTTTTAATTATACGACGATTCACGCCGCAGAATGCGATTCTGTTTGGAAAAGTAAACAGAGAGTTTTCAGGGGGATAGCTTTTCGTTGGAAATATTTGAACATAGAAGCAAACATAGCCAGGATTTTTTTAGAGTTCTTTAGGAGCACATATTCTTGTAAAAACGACCTGCACATTTTGTAATATATGCAATGGTAAGGCGAAAGCGCTTCAGAATTTATGAAAAGGAAATAGAAATGACATGAAGAGCAAAGTTTTTTCCTCAAAGAGGAGCAAGTGTTTAAATATTGCAGTTTACGAAACTCCATTTAATCGGTAACATGTGATACTGCCAGAACTTTACAGGCGTGGGTTTTATTAGAAACAGCCGTGTTCTGTTTAGTAAGCGGAAGAACAACTGAGACTTCGTATTGGCTTTAAAGACTACAGTCTTTGGGCCATCTCATTAAATATTGGCAGTAATTCTGAAACCTGTATCAAATTAGACGGGAATGCTCAAGTGGAGCCGTAATACTGCTTGCCTTTAGGCGAACTGTAATGAATAATTATGTTGTTTTAATGACCGTGCGGTAAGCATCCAAATGACTTGGCATCTGTCCGTTTAATAATGTGACTCATGAAGTTAACTACACAGCGCACATCCGTTTCAAAATTGTGGTGGCCCTATTTAGCACCTCCATAGTGGTCTAGAGGAATAAAAAATTTTCTTTACACGTGTGCCGTTTGCAGAATAAAAACACTAAAAGCATACGCAACAGCACATCCCTTTTGGCTGTGAATACAGGCTAAACATAAAAACCTTGTACAAGTTCAAGATCGAACTTTTAAAATTAACTCGCAATCGACCATGACCAAACCGCACGACCAAGATCATAGACGAAACGCTACATTATTAGGTCTACGTTGATTCATTGACTTGACATAAATATTGCATATAGGCGTGTAGGCATTAGCGACAAAAACGAAGGAGACTGGAATGGCCATTTCTGGCATGTAAGCCGTCGTCAGCCAGTCATATCCAGTCCCATAATGGGGAATATCAGGGGCTCGTCCCTCGACCTGCATATATAAACCCATAAACTCAGCCCAAACGCCAGTCGTCTTCTAAAATCTAAGTCTTAAAAGAGTCGTTTCTCCTTCATTGAGTTTCCTCTGTTGGTAGAAATTCGTAAAACAATGGTGAAAAAAACCTTGACAAATTTCTCTTCAACGAATTCTAAACGAAGAGCATATATTTGGCCTTCTTACATAACTGAATTTTGTTTCCACAGAAGAAAAGACATTGGAATATCAGCCTGAATGAATATATTTACAAGTCAGACATTTTAGCAAGATGCTCAATATCCCGCGTTCTTTTGGCAGTTATTGCGCACAATGGACTCCGGAGATGCAATCTGTGCCCAATTGAGCGCTGGACTATACAAAAACGCGGATGAACTTGCCAATCTTTGGAATTACGTCGGTTAGTGAGTCTTTCTGTTATGCTGTTTTCCACCTTTTTTTGAGAAATGGGCATTTGAACGTCGTCGGCTTAGAAGATCAAGATGCAGCTAAAAGCAACCGAGAAACTGTCCTGACATCCATCTTCAGCTGTCAGAGAGTTTCTTTATATGCAGTATTTTTCGTGCTCTCTTAGCAACCGCGAGTTGTCATCTAAGATGTACAGTTCAACTAATGATTAAAAGTTTAGCTATACTTAATATCGGGACACCGAAGGCAAAGTAAACTCTTATTATTCTACTCTGAAAAGATCTGCATGCATATTTTTGCTTACATGAAGTGCACAGAATCCTGAGCTCTTATTTTGTCGCCCCTAGGCTTATTGACCACAGCCTGTTGTGCTTTACGGTTAGTGACATTTCTTTAAAACATTGTCTCCACTTCTTTTCGGGATAAGTGCGGGTTTGACCAACCTTTGTATATTTTTAAGCTCACCAAATTTCCAAGGGACACTCTCTACGATGCTTGCGGGGACTGAACTTTTCAGCCAAAGTTCGCCGCAGTTAACGACGTTTTTAAAGACTATACGGTCTCCTTGGTTGCAACCTTGCAATAATTAATTTAAAAAGGTCAAAATATCATGCTGACAAAGACAAGGACAATTGGAATGCCCTTATCTGGCCCAATAGCTGTCAGCTATCTGAGATGTGTCCTGTAACGGGACCGGTGAACATCCGTTTACAATCCCAAATATTCCCCCGCGGAACCGATGGGACGCAGAGTCCGTTATGTTATTTTTCTCACATTAACAGCCTTTGTGCAGATAATGCGAGGTCTGAGGTCGAGCTCCAATGCACAACGGGATGAGTTTTGAACATTAACAAGATCAGTGAGCTTCTCACTCTCATTTATTTACCCACAAGTTGTTGTTGTGGATTTTGATAATTAACTGAATCACATGGGAAGGTCTCAACAGACACCGTACCGCCGGTTATTTCACAAGCGATTTAGTATAATTTACTAATGTATATTTGTAAGTGTTCTTGCCTCACGCTGTAGTAGAAGCTTTAATATATAACAATGAGGCTGGCCTTTCTGGTTCATCCCCAATTATCGGTTTTTTAGGCGGACCTTTTGAATTAGACTCTGTAATCTTCAACGAAGCCAAGCTCGGCTACCCAACGCTTTTGATTATCCGCAATCAAGCCTGTCCATCAAAACAAACGAGGGTGGATTGTCAAGCGTATAAGCCAATAATTAGCAAGTGTGGTGAAGAAGAGTGTTGAGGACTTTCAGAGGTCAGGGTCTAGTTCAGTCAGGGGCTTGGGGATGGGAGGGAGAGGCGGGAGGTTTCTAGTCTCTGTTTTGCCGTGTAAAACGACGCGGCAGGATGTCTGGACGCACATGCTGGTTAGTCTTTGGCCAGGGGAGCCTAAACGCCTGAATAAACGCCTTATGGCAGCACAGATTTGGACAAGTTAAACTTATGGCCACAGACTCTGCCACTGCAAGTGTCGGATGACCTATGAACCCAGACTATCTAACCGGCACTTTATAAATGACTCGGAATGCTTTGCTGACGTCTTTGCCGTGGCCGCTGTCAACGTGCTGAACCACAGTTGAGCGAGACATTGACCTTTTCATATCTTGAGTTAGACAGAGGGGATGGTGCGCCCGAATCCGCGAGGATAGGCGCCCAGTAGTTTGACCAGTATTGCGTGCTCCAAAGGAAAAACCGAAGGTCAGGATATAGGTCTGAAGGAACTGCTATCCTTGCCTTAAAGGCGAAGAAACGGAGTGCTTGGGAAAACCAGTTATATCTGCAGTGTTTCGTTCAATCCAAAAATTTGAGCTAAACAGTCTGTACTGTTTTTCTGCCATTGATAAGGACGAGATTGGATTAAAGCACAACACATGTTGGACAAATACTTGAGTACGCTTGATTAAGTTTGCTTCGAGAGTGGGTCTCAGAATGCACTCGTGGCGTCTGCTACAATATGCTTTCTGGTTACAACAAGTAGACCTATCTGCTAGCAGTCAAATGAGGAATTCTGTAAACTGGCCAGACTCCATCTGCTGCATCAAAATGCTGATTTAGGTCGAAATCGTAGACGAAGGCTAAAAGAAGACTAGGCTTATCATCCGTGATTTCCCGCCAACAACCCTAGACTTTGCCTTAGTTTCAAGGAAAGGGACGTGAATTTTAAACACTGAGGTGTAAAAAACTCCATAAAGTCATATATCTGACAGCGGTGACAAATAACTGAATGCATCATCAAGCTTTTGAATCCTACGGCTGAACAACAAATAAAAACAAATTTACAATTGATTCCCTAAAAGAAGAGAACGTCTCCGTTATTGCTAATTCATCGTTGTTAAACGACAAAAGTGAATGGCTTAAATTCTGATTGGTAATCAGGGAGAGTGGTTGAACGCAACGGATATTTTGACGTATTTTCCTGAGCTACTGTCATTTGCCCTTTGGACAGTCTTATAAAACGAGTGGGCTAGCTGACCGAATACTGGGGAGGTTGGTGTGGGGTTTGTCTTGCAGACATCTTACGAACTTTTTCTTGAACAATTGGTATATCACAAAATTTACATGTAGGCTAATCTTTAATCTGAAAAAGTGCTGACCATTTTTGTTCCACCGTACGCAGGCAATTCTAGTAAGAAGTACTCTGGTTTACCGATGGCTTTTAGTATATCAGTGTATCTTGAAGGAGTCAGTAGGCGGGCTACCTCATGGAATGCCAACCGAAATCCCAAAATGTGTTTCAGTTTCGAAAAGAGTAATTAGGCGAGGTTGTAAAACTAGTCAGCCTGCAACATGATTCTATAATATTTCAGTTATCTCAGGATGCGGGCTTTCGACAGAACTTATTTACGGTTGCATACAAAACCGTACTTTGGAAAACGTTACTACTTATGTAGAAAGACTTGTTCTCATTTATTTTCGATGCCCCTAAATGTCCAATTATATTTCCTCGAAAACATGCATAAACATATTTATTCTTTTGCTTATTATGTAGAAAACTACGTCTTTCTTCAACTTTATACTCGAAGGAAGGGAATAATACGGTTTTAAAAAGGGTTATAATTGTGAGACTTTCTAATGACGCGGAATGGCCGTTCATGAAATGTCGTGTCTCTGCATTTACCAATGTGGCTTGTAAATTTAACAATATTGGTCAAATCCACTGATATATGCTGGCCTCATAATGCCGTAGAGAAATCTGTGGTTTTCCGTACGGGGAATGTACACGGCTTGTAGTTTGGAAACCCTGAATGCAATTGTAACGGCGGGTTGGGTTCAAAATTATTGGGGAATTTGAAAAGATTTGCAAACCGAAAATGAACCTCCCTTCGAGTATAAAACTGGAAGAAAACGTAATTTTCTACCGAAGGATTAAAAGAATGAATATTTTTATGCATGTCTCCTATGAAATATAATTAAATTTTTGAGGGCGTCAAAAACCAGTGAGAAAAATTCATACTACATAAGTAGTCATTTTTAACAAAGTGTAGTTTTTGCATGCAGCCGTAAAGAAGTTCGTTCAGAAGCCGGCATCCTGGGGTAACTGAATTATAAAAGAATGTTGCAGCAGTTTTATAACCTCTCTTAATTAATCTTTTTGAAACGAAAACGCATTTTGGGATTTCGGTTGACATTTCATGAGTTGGTCCACCTGCTGTATGTCTAAAGTCAAAAACCCCGAAGACGCGGCGGCGTATGCTTTCAACAGTTTGTTAGCTGTAAAAGTAACTTGCAGTCTCTATTTTTCGGATGCTCAGGGCATCTTAAGTCCTCACACCTTCCGCATATTGCCACTCTGATACTTCCTATGACTGAACACAGAAATCAAAAAGGGGCTTAGATGTTAAAATGCCCCAGTAGGTCCGGATTTGTGATTTTGTGAAATTTTCACTTGCTTATTTCATCCTTAAAGGCTTCGACGAGGCCGAACGGGCAGCCAGAACACAAACGCTGAACGCTCTCCTGGAGAAGGTGTTTGCGGAGTTCATTCAGGCCGAAAATGCCACCGTCTTGGAGCTTAACACTCAAATTGAGGCGTGTAGACGGCAAACAGCAGAAGCCTGCCAGTCACTTGGCTTGCCGCCCTACCTGCCAGAACGCGGATTGACAATTTGTCAGTTAAAAAAGGTGACTATCAACGTCTAAAAAGGCTCCTATTAGACTCTAGGTGTGTATGACTTTGGCGTCGTATGTCGACTGCGATAGGGCACATCTATAGGACTGTCTTTATAAAAAATAGATCTTTTCCCAGCGAATCTTAAGTCTTTACAGGCGGCTTAATGCAAAGGTTTAATTTCGCAGATCTATGCTAAATGAGTTTTGCTACGGTTCTGCTGTTTGTGGAACCTGTAATTATCGTGCCTTGCAATATGAAAACGTTTGCTGAGATGTATCATTATAGCACCAATAACTGTTATATGTTCAGTAAATGTGTGGCTGGTAAAAGTCGCGTGTGACACACTACTTAACCGGTACAACTTCATGCCAAGTAGAAATTGAGGAGAGTCACGAGTGGAAATGTGGCCAGTTAGATTAAAGAAAGGCCTTACGTCTTTAAGAAGAACATTGGAAACATCAAAGATAACCAGAAGGTCCATGTGTCTCACACTATCCACCCGTAAACAGAACAAACTCTCTGGAAGTTCAATGAATAAAGGTGAATCAGCAGATATGGAGCAACGACAGAGTGTGCAGCAAAAGTACTCATTTTTGTCAATTTATCGGTCTGGATAAGCAATAATTTCCGAGACTGTCCATATTAGCGCTTACCCCCAAATAAACTTCAGAAGCGGTTCACACCAATCCGGAGCTCCCGGCCCAGCCACCAACTCAGTAAATTATATGCGCAGGATAAGGCAAAACTGTGGAGAACTGCAAACAATATTTTTAAAAGTTGATGCTGTTTGGCAAAGTTTTCGTTTGTCCCTTCGTCGGCAGGATACCATTTGTCCTGAGTGGCCAGCACTGCTGAACATTAGTTCATTGTTCTACACCCCCACACATAACTCTTTGCCTAGAGAGAAGCTCATTTTTGAAAAAAACGTTTTGGCAGGGACAATAAAAATACCCCAAATATTGTTAGTTATGTACGCCTGTCAGTAGAGCAGGGGTGTTAAAACGCTGGTGAATTTGTCAAGCAGGACTTAGCAGCCTCTTACCTCACGTATATACTAAATCATAGCCAATACCTTAATAGAGAGGTTGGATCATTGTTGAGCCTTCATATTCGAGTTTTACACACCGAAGTCATGCAAAGTTAGCATATGTCTGGTTGGCACGCAGTTCCATGTTGTCGGAGTGAGTTACGCATCCACACGCTTTCGATTGCTATAAGGTACGGGAAAAGTTTTGAGAGGGATTATGGAACAGAAAGGGGCCAGTTAGTCATGCATTGAGGACTCTTGCCAGTGAGAACCGGACTTCTGTTTAAAAGCTCATTGGCTAGGTTATTTGCAATTACTATCAAACGGTATCCGTGCTTAGGTAGGAAGGCCCGAGAAAATGTCTGACTCGGAAGCTGGTAGTATTGCATGTAACCAATCGTTCTTAGGCTCAGCTTTCTGAGCTCCTCAGTCTCGGCGTTGGGTTATGACCCTCGTGGACATTAATTTGATGAAAATTAAATGTATAAGGATTCGCTTGCCAATTTCAGAAGTTCGGTGTGTGATGGGAAATAAGTCCTGGTAAAACCAGACTCCGACATTTCAGTAGTTTTCCTTGACTATTGAGTTATAAATCGCGACATTTGAAAAATTAAGTTAGTTAGACACACCTATCGTTATTTCCCTTGAACGTCTCTCAGTTTTTAAGGAAAACAATATTGTATATCTGTAGAATGACCTAACGCTGACCTTGAAATGATCATCATTAAAATCTTCAACACAGAATGAAATACCCAATATCAACCAACTCCGGTGTGTACGTCCACACCCGCAAGCTAAATGGAGAAAAAGATTGAACAGTTACATTTTGCCAAGTTTACACGGCGTCCCAAAAATGCATACACGCTGTGACTAATTACAAAACCGCCGGTTAGTAAAATGCACTTCAGAATTCAATTTGGCATATACGTGTTTTCGGCAACTGAAGCCGCCAATACAGTCACGTACGAATCAAAAATACAAGAGGTTCGCATGGTTTATAAGTGATTTAGGAGCTGCTAACACTCATCATTCCCACCCACCCGCATGGCGATATCGGCATGTTATGATCACGTAGGCAAAGGAGGGCATGACATAGACTGTGAGTGATGTTTGTTAGTCGGGTACGTTGAGCACACATCACTGCCATCAGACGGTCGGGACGGCGTGTTATAATCATCTGGGGTCGGTGTTGGCCACGGAAGACAGATCGCTGAGTCAACGTCTTCTGAAAACTTAGCCCTGAATTCGACAGCGGTAAAGCCACAATCTCGGTTGTAGTTAGTATTCGTTGATATAGACCTCTGGAGACGTTTGCTGGTGTCTAGTAGAAAACCTGAAAGGCTTTCTTGGCATTGATTCGGTGATACATATCGACAAGAAGCACGAGCATAGAAGTCCATATTAATCTGTTTTATCTCTGTCTCGCCAAAGATGAAAACAGAAAACGCCTCGTTGTACGACCAATGTCACCCGCTTCACAGGTGGCAAGTGAAAGAGTAAACACACATCTGTGTGACCTGCAACGTTCTTTTCTTCCCAAAGAATGTATACACATTCTGTCCCATTATAACGCGGGATCTTGATAAAATGTGACTTATTTTCTCAATGTGAAAAAGTCAGCAGGCATTGTGTAATTATTATATCGAGGTCTGTATTCAAACGTTTGTCCCGTCTGATGATAACGTGAAGCAGTAGAATCGAGTACACTGAGTCAGTTCGGTTAACCGGTTTCTTTAGGCGTGAGCCGTTACTAAAGCCGACCCCTAAAAAGTTGAGACATGCGCAGTCGGGTGAACGAAATGGGTGTTCATGGAAACCCCTTCTACCAACTCACCTAGATGGCAAGGTCACATCATGGTAGGATCTTTCGCCACAGTGATAGTGTGGGACCGCCTATCCTTCTGAACCCAAAACATGCATGGTGGTTAATATTAAAACACAAACTACGCAGACCTTTCTAATCGAAAACACATTTTAGTAAACATTTCAAATACCTCCCAAGACACTGACATGGCGGACTGACACAGTCTGTCTATTTAAGTGAGACCAATCAGAGGAGCGTCAAAAAGAATGGTCCAATTAATCCTCATTATGGTACTCACACTGTTATTTCCGGCAGATTGAACTCACGCCCCACTTTGATATGAAGATTCTCGTGCGTACAGTTGGCAGCAATTCGGCTGTCATTGCGATCATGTAATTTAATCGTACTCTCATCAGCACATAAGACTTTCGTTGAAGCATGTGTGTATTTTGCGAATCCTGCTAAACACTCTAATGCTCACATCATCTCCATGGAAAGAGCCGAGGAATCCCTGAATACAACATTTCCAGCGATAACAATTCAAATTACGATGGACGTAGATTCCAAAATCCATGCGGTAAATTCATGTCTTATTTGACACTCCCAAAAAACTAAGCGGCCCAATGACTGCAGTCCTTCCTAAATCTCTCCGTAACCTGATTGGTTATTCACAAAGCCATTGAATTGAACGAAGGCTGTTCATTCTGTTGACCTTACATACCTTCACAATATTCAACGCCTGCGAACAATAGCCCCTTGTCGTTTTCCTATCGAGTGCAACTTATTTCTCGCCTCGTCTAGTCTGCCGATATTAGGCCTCAGAGAAAGACCCTCGATGACTCCGGTTTTAGGGCGGGGTGACCTTAACGACTTAGCTCTCCAAGGATATCAGCGAACGTAGGCAACGCCCTTCCTTCTTATCGCTTTGTTGAATTGCACAAGGTCAAGTAAAACAGAGCTCGCCTGAATATGCTTACAATTTATGGCTATTGTTTTAGGAAACGCAACATGTGACTAGGGATTTTGTAGCGCGTAAACGCTGCTGTTGCATATAGGCTCGTTTTAATTTTGTGGACCTTTTAAGCAAATATGAACGCCCTGTCGCTTACAGACTGGTCGTCCCCCTAATGCAGCCTACTACGTCAAATCGCGTAACCACATTCGGTATTTCATTCGTAAATTAGGAATACAAAATATGCCCACTTTCAGAAACTTACATTTGCCAAATTTCCATTTGCCAAAGTTCATGAAACTTTGGCACCTATTTAGGGATATGCAAAAGGCAATTTGGCGAGCATACGTCTGGTTTCGATAAATCCTTTTCAGGCCTGCACACTTATATGGCTATTAAAGTAATGAATTAAAAGATACGGGCAAACTCGGGTTTGGAGTGGGGAGGGAATGAGGAGAGTGAAACACCACAAGAAGGCGCCTAACTCAAGCTGTTTCACAGACCTTTCCAACAGCGGACACCTGTGTACTGTTCTCCACCAGTCCCATCCTATACGGAGAGGGCAAGGACCAACTACCAGCTCAGACCACCTCTTTGTGTATCCACTCCTTCACCTGCTCCTGTGGGGCAGAAGATACTGGTCGCACGGGCCGGCGTTTATCCAAAATAATGAAAGAACATCTCCCAGCATGGTTAGGAAGGGGTCAAATAAGGATCATCAACAGCTCGATCCTCGCGCATATGGTAAACACAGACCACCGTGTAGACGCCAGAAAGGCCTTCAGAGTGATTTACAAGGTCCCATCAAGCTGCCCGAAACTGCTTGGGCAGCGCTACGGCAGCGGCGACTACAATCAGTCTACGCGGACCGGTCCTATGCGCACAGAAGAACTTCATACAGGTCCCACAGTTGTCATGGCTCAAAGCCACTAAGCCAGCCACCCGCATGTAATTACCTTCACCTGGACACACCTTCTCTCTGACGCTGACTGGAATTGTGGTGTTTCACTCTCCCCCTCCCCTCCCCTCTCCAAACCAGAGCTACAGCTTAATTATCTACTGGCCCGTTTCGTTTAATTAATTACTTCAATAGCCATATACATGTACAGGCCTGAAGAGTATTTATCGAAAGCAGACGTATGCTTGCCAACTGGCCTTTTGAATTTAAGGATATATTTGGTCTAAAAATTGTTTACGTTAGTGCGCGTTTCCGGCTGGTTTACATAAAATGTGACCCCTGGTTAATTCGTTAATGGCAGTATGCCGCGTGGATCCACTTCGGAAGAAAATAAATACGGCGTTTAAACTTAAACATAGGGTCATTTTTGCTGGACGTTTTTATGACTGTTGACCTTGCGAGGTGTAGATCGTCAGGCTTGAGGCATCGGCACCATAACGACGGTACACGCGAAGTATTTGAGATTGCCTTGCATGTTGGGCGGGTCATATGCTGGTTGTCACACCAGTGAACAAACCATGGACGCAGATTCATATGAAAATAAAGTATCCTTATGACGCCCAAAATCATGCCCGCACATAATGGCGATGCATTTTTACTTCCGTACATTCATTAAAAGCCAATCATATTCTAGGAATCTGTGGCGGGCGGCGGAAAATAAGTATTTACCTAAAGTTCTGTTTATCGATCCAGTACTAATTACAGAAAAAACGAGTAGTCAGCGTTTGCTCCCTATCATTTTTTGTCCGTTTGAGGACACTCTAAAACCGAGTACAAAACATAAATCCACTCTGATGTTCAATTTATTGAAATGCTGAACTTGCAGGTACACTTTGCAGTACATCAGAGTCTTAAATGAACATCTGATATAGTAGTTTAGGTCAAGAAATCTTCTTCAGACACCCTTCATTTTCCACTACCTACGGGACCGGTAATAAATTGATTTGCGGTAATAGTTATGGGCTTAAATGTTAGCAGTCGCACGCGCAGTTCTCCCCGCCGAGGTCTATAAAAAGTGTTACCTGGAGACTTGTTATGAGAGCTCTCTGCTCTAAGTATATATTTGTACGCAATTTATGTGATGGGGATTTGTTTGTACAATAAACATGCATTGGGGTATGCTCAGACACAACTTGATAAATCGGCGCGATAAAGTATGCAAAAAATAACCAAAAATAAAGCCTTTTGGATAGGTGCAACGCCATTTTGTATTTTACTTCTGCGTTTTGTATAAATGTATGCAAGTCTAACTAACCACAAAAATTCTCGCTTATGCGATTGCTACCTACTTTAGTTGGGCAACGTGTTCATTTAGTTACAGAATGCGGAACTAGTAATTTCGACTGCCTACTCACTCAATTCGTTTGTTTGTGCTGAATTTATTGAGCTGATATTCCGCAGTCTACCGCAAAATTACCCTTAGTCTACTTATTTGCTTAAGGGAAACGTACGCCATAAAGCCGCAGGAAGAGTAAACATAATACCTTTATATGGCGTGGTTAGTTTTCAGGCTCATGAATCCGATGAAAAAAGGATAGGTTTCCAGCTTTCTTATCAAACTATTAATGACTTCTGGGTACAGTTCATCAGTGTGTCTATCTTCTTGTAGCTGCAGATGGTCCAGGCTTAAAGTACACTGGGGTGTATTGATTGTTTTGACTAGTGTGTCATAAATATCACATTAAGGGGAGGCCATTACAATAAAACCGAAGTTATTTCGTTCCATAGCCCGGGAATTTTAACGACCCGCGTTAGGTTCAGGGCATTGTTCGTTACTTACGATCAGGAAGCACACGGTAACCCAGAAGAATAGGTACCCTGTCGTATTACAAGCGGCCCTGCGCTACATCCCAGGGTCAGCTCAGGTTTACGGTCAAAGTTTATCCGAAAGCTATCTCTACTATGGGGTACCTATTCCTGTGCCTAACCAACCGTATATTGGATCCTGGTTTTATCGGCTTAACTGAATTTCTCTTGTGCCATCTTCCATTAGCCTGTTCGAAAAAGGCCGATTAGATTTTACTGGATGCGGAGCCGTGTGCTGTAATATTGACTCCAGACCTTTCCAGTATATTTCTATGAATATTGGGTAAGTTTATGGACTAAGGACCAGCGTACTAGAAGAATCAAACCGTGCATAGATTTTGAGGACTTTTGAGGACATTTGGAGGAAGTTCGTCAGTCTCATAATGATACACGGAGAGTACCATACTGTTTTCTTTTGTGTAAAACTTAGCCTGCGTCAGTAACGAATTTGCAAAATACTGAATTTAATTGTAAATATTTGCATATATTGCATGATCACTCATAGTCAGTTACAATCTGATGGCCGTTGTGATAAAATCGGTCACTGAAGACTTCGCTGGTATCTGTGCTATTAATGGTTAGTACGGGAATACTGAGCGACCACGGCGTTGAAATCGATAGATGTCAGTTGAAATATTCAAAAGAAATTTTTTGATCGAATAGAAGGTTTGTGCTGCAGAATGCCCTTCGCGTGCTTATGGCAAAATAAGAGGAATTTAACAGGCTTAAAATTCCTTAACTCTTGCTGAAAATAATTATTTCCTATTGGTAATCTGGACTGCCCTTATAATCGTATTAAAGTTTTGAACGCTTAGAAACCTATCACCAGTCTATGGATCATCAGTTTGGCCTACGAAATTGTGATATTACGGTCGTCATTAAACAAATAAGTTTCCTATATTATTACGTATTAGTAAGTAGGTAATCCGGTAAAATGCGGCTAGGGAACTCAAGTCCACCATATTCAACCTTTAGTAGTGATTCACATGTTGTCAGAAGCTACTTTCTCCAAAACATCAGGAGAGCATGCCAGCAGTCAGTGTACATGCTCAGGAATTGCTGCTTAGCAGGCTCTCATGAGAATGATTTCTTAGCTGCGCACAGCTAGTCCCGCTACCTTACAGGCTTCTGTTTACGTTCAATTCTCTGCGGCCTTAGCGACACTAGCTATTTCGGGCCGCTCGTCAAACTATCGCGAGTGAAGGTTATTAATTTTGTTCAGCCTCGCGAGCAGCGTGAAGGATGACCTCTTGCCTAGAGGTCAGAAATTTACCTGAGTTGGTGCGTACGTTGACAGTACATGGAAACTGGGATGCAATAGGTGGCACTCATATGGCACGATGCGTCACTCTCAAATACGACTGCTGACTGCATATGGAAAAGCACGGTAAAACGTAACGCCGCGGTTAGTAACGCCTGCCTCGTAAAATGCTCTCCTTGTCTTTAGGACCTAGAGGAGAAACTGAAGGAACTGCAGGATGAACGAGCGAAGAGGATAGCAGACTACAGAAATCTCCGGAAGGAGCTCCTTCGAATCAGCGTCCAGATGGGTCTAGATGCTGAATCAATCAAACGAAAAATGCAAGAATTCCCACCAATCGCAAGCCCGCTATCCTCTGGTAAGTGCCTATTTCTCTCATTCTGACTCGATGACCTCGTATTTTATATGGACGCAGTGTCTACGTCAGATGCTCCCAAGGTTATTAGGAGTCACGTTGAAGTGTCGACAGTCAGTTAGACGGTGAAAATTGTCAACGATAAGACAGTTCAGAATTTTAAAATAAAAACACTTCCCTTGAGCACATAAACATTTACAATGCCATCTTGTTGATTTTTACCTGGCAATTGTCAGTGTGCTCAAGCCCGAGGACTGAAAAATAAGAGGACAAACGTGTTCCGTGCTATAAGTGCCTTGATGGACGAACCCAACACTATATATGTATATGGCCATTCCAGTTTCCCTTGTCTTTGTCGGTAATATCATTCTGACTATATCATGCGCCGCTGTGCGGCTGCTGGTTGGGCTCGAAAGGGAGTCCATAAGGCACAACGGAACGAGTAAGTTCCGTAAGAACGATCGGTGAGCGCCCCCACCATTATAAATGTATATATAACAATTAAACAGTGGTTCCCAAGATCGCCTTTTCTTCTCATATATGTTCGGGGACGCGCCTCTTGGCTTTTATTAGCAATATATATATATATATATATATATATATATATGGTGACAGATGGGCGCTCCCCGATCAGGTAACGGAACTTGCTCGTTCCACTGTGCCTTGGGGCTCATACGAGAACCCTCGTAGGCAGTCGCACAGCGACTAGTGTTAGATATAGTGTTAGATATACCTGATCGGTGAGCGCCCATCTGTCATCATTTATATTCCCGATCACAACCGACAGGAAAACGGGCCGGTGGCTCAATGGTAGAGCGTCATACTCCATGACCAAAGATCCCGGGTTCGAATCTCAAGTGATCCACCCTTGGGGTTGGGTATGACTGGCTGATGATGGCTAATAAGCCAGAAATAGCCATTCCGGTCTCCCTTGTCTTTGTCGGCTCCATCTCATCTAAATATATAATGGTAGGGGCGCGGACCTAGCAACAACGACGACTGGGCAGGGAACAGAGGTCACACGAGCGACCCAGCGTTCGGCCACGGAGAGAACAAAGCCACTTCTACACCAGCAGGGAGATCAGAGTTCGGGCACCAGGCTTGCCTAAAATACGAGACAGGTGGTGGGATAGAACAACTCCTGACCAGCAGGAACAAACACCTCACAACTTTGATGATGAAGACGAGGAAGTTTTCAAAACCTCAGCACCAATACAGCGTGGTCCATGGAATCGCCTCTTTTTCATCCTCGTCTTCTTTTGGAGATGGTGAGCGGGATATATAAGATATGAAATGCTCGTTAAGATGCTAACACGTCAGACGCATGCAGCTGTTTCACGATCAGTGCCGATCGTCAATATGTGAAGAACGTTTCGCAAGCAAAATCAGGATTCCTGAAACCTTTTGGAATTGTTTTGGTTCACAACTGCCATCAAAAATCAGACCGCAAATCACGAAGTCCAAAGCCTCGCTACCAGCGACACTCCACGTTAAGATTTTGATAAAAGCAGGCAATAGCCTTGGCACGGGATTGCACGAACGGCAACTTACAATCAACCGCAAGATGGACTGTCGCTAGTCTGTGGCCGCATTTGACAGCAGAAAATGAGGTTTATCGGACAAGTCAATAATAAAGCGGCAAAACTGATGCTGGAAAGTTGGTCCCCGACTGGAACACTTAACCGAGCCATAGACCTACTAACCGTCAACTTGGCGCTCGCAACAAGATTCGAGTCAGTTCAGACGGGACCAATAGGACGGATAAAAAAGGTCATGCGGGGCCTACAGCCGACGCCTGTCGAGAAGTGAGCAGGCGCCGACCGGAAGTCACATAACCGACGTAGTACTGCCTCGCCACCGCGGCCACAAGGCCGAATTTCCAAAAAGTTGGCATTAATACAACTTGGTCCACGAAATCGCCCTTTCTTCTTCGTCTTCTTCGGTGGATGGTTAACACAGACAACATATATATGACAAATGTGCTATTCCGTACTCCTGACATCGGCATTAGCTAAAAGCCTAGACACGTGTTAAGACGATGTTTTTGCTGCCCCACGATGCAACAGCGAGGGATTCGGCTCCGCAGCGGGTCCCCCAGGGCTCTCTATGAGGTTTGCAATATACGAACTTCAGAGAATGATCAAGCCTTACGGTCATGGGAATCGGGAACTGATGATGTTCAATCTAAACGTATGTAGGATTTATGCGACAAGTTCTCTTTAGATAAAGGAACAAAATGTCTATTAGTCTAGGCGATTGCATAATTTGTTATTCTGTCCTATTCCTTCGGTTGTCTCAGATCGGTAACATTGTACACTTATAGCGAAATTCCGACAGAAACATCACTCAAACCCTCAAGTCGACGATTCAAATGTCAAAACACTGGTGTAATAGCAACTATGCATCCCACTTTATCTACTACCGCCTTTTGCAGATGGCCAGGTTCCTACGCTGAAGGAACTAGCACGCATGAATTCACTTCTGGAGGACAATAAGGCATCCATCGAACCGCTGGTGGCGAAATTCCGGGGCCTTCAGGCCGACATCCTCCGCCTTTCCGCAGACATTGACTATCAGCCGCAGAATGCGAAGGAACAGTCCCTACTGGCGCAGACCAATACAGGGGACCAAGAAGACGGTCAAAATGAAATTCAGGCCGAAGAAAATGGAGAATGCGGCGTGGACATTGATACTGAAATTCAGGCAGTGCAGGCGAACTGCAGTGGAGCTCTTCCCACCGAAGATGATTTACAGGTAATTCGAGTAACTTTTCAAAAATGTAACAGTACATCTGGAGAATGGATAAAATATGTGAAAAGACCACCCACTAACCAATACCCTTCTCTAGGTCCTTCTTTAAGACTCCACTATCCAAACACGCACATTGCTCGTAGGTTTGCAGTAGTTGCAGTAGGTGGGATAACTCATGAAATGTCAACCGAAATTCTGAAATGCGTTTTCGTTTCGAAAAGATTAATTAAATAGGGTCGTGAAACTAATAATCGTGCAGTATAATTATATAATAATTCACTTGCCACAGAATACTGACTTTGGGACGAACTTCTTTTCGGCCGCATGCAAAGGCTATACTCTGCACATGATTACTTAAGTAGCATGAATTTTTCTCGCCGATTTTCAATGTCCTAAAAAACTCAATTGTATTTCATTGAAAACGTGCATGAAAATATTCACTCTTTTACTCATTCGGTCGAAAATTGCAACCCCTTTCGATTTTATACTTGAAGAAAGGATAAATTCGGCTTTTAAAACTTTCCCAGTTCCCGAATAACGTTGAACACTACCTGCCCCTACACTTGAATTCAGGATTTCCAAACTAGAATCCGTATATTTTCAGCGTGCGGACAACCATAAATTTCTCTAAGGTATTGAGAGGAAACCGTATGGGATCCATAAAATTCAGCGGTGAATTTGAGCCGTATTGTAAACTTAAGATGCTACGTAAATAAATGCGGAGACAGATGTTGTATGAACAGGCATTTCACGGTCTTAAAAGATGTCATAATTAGGGACTTTTTGAATACCCAATTATAGCATTTCTTCAAGTATAAAATTGGAAGAAGACGTAACTTTCTATCGAATGAGTAAAAGAATGAATACTTTTATTCGTGCTTTCTATGAAATACAATCGGACTCTTAGGGGCATTGAACATCAATACGAAAATTTATTCTAATTAAGTAGTCACTTTTTACGAAACAATAGTTTTGAATGCAGCCGGAAGTAAGTGCATTCGAAAGCCGGCGTCCTGAGGTAACTGAATTATTATAGAATCATGTAACACTATGATTAATCTTTTCGAAACGAAAACTTATTTCGGACATTTGATTGGCATTTCATGAGTTAGCCCACTTACTGTATATTACCTACATGGGCCAACTAAAACCGACCCCGCAGGATTTGCGCTGGATCAACGCGTCCCAGATCAGGGCACGGCAGCCGCTCTTGTGGATGCGCACCCACAACAGATGCCGTAGATGGAGTGTGTGGTGGTACGCCTAGGCGCCCGATCACGCCGCAATGGCCACCAGCGCCCGATCCCGCCTTCGGTCTTCTTGATTCTGTTTTGGCATCGAGCCTATAACAGCGAGGGAAGCGATAGTGCAGTAGATGCGCGCAAGTGTACTATCATTGTAGACTAGGTCAAGCGCACGTCGCTGTGGGACACACCGTGGACATCGTCGAGATTGGTGTCGAAATGTCGTATTGGTTACATGTAAGGCGCGCGTAGATGTGCCACTTACCTCTATGAGCCATCGGGCAACTCTCATCATCAGTTGGGACAGTCGACTAGCGCCTGGAGGAGGTGTAAACAAGTGATACAAACACTGGGGACTTTATCCTTATGGCAGACCAACGAACTTACCATCAGGAAACTGATGTGCCTCAATCGTCCTACCGAGATAAGAAATGTTGCTTGGAAATCTGCCAAGCTGGAGGGTCAGATCCAGTGACGCCTACTGAATGAGGCCCCTATGACGTTCTCAATCAAATGGGATTCGAGCATCATAGTAGTTTTGTGGAACGACTGGAGGAGTGGATGTCGAGCTGCAAAGGTTCCAGCTTGATGTGTGGCAGCCAGCCATCATGAATGGGCCCGGCGTCATTGTTCAAAACCTCGCTGCCTCAAGGGCATTCATCCCTTGCAGCGAGCCGTCCCAGACGAGCTGACCTGAAGTCACACGACCAACAACTCGGGCACACCTGCGTCCGCGCAGTCGCAGCTGCCCATGCGGCCACTTGAACGCGCCACCCACTGCAGCCAGAAAAACAAGCCACTGGGACACCACCCCTCGGCAAATGCAACACACGCTGACTGGACACCGCTTGAGCTTGGCCCACGAGCCTACAAAAGCGGATGCCGCCACTGTCTCAGGGACTCTCAGGCCTGACTGGACGCAGTCAACACCATCCCTGGCTTCGCCAGTGGCCACTGTCACCTGAGAGGACAACTCCGAGTTCTGTGCACAATAAATCCCTCATTCTGGTCCCATCTGCCGTCTCCCTGTCCACACTGGAATTCGACCATGTGGTTGCAGCGCACAGAGCACTTACTCACACCGCCTGGTCACACCAGATGTAACCTTGATGTCATTCTTGCGTGTGTGAGATCTGACCTGCCCCCATAGTAACCTGGCAAACGCCGCGAGGAACGCGCGTTGTAAGCGCAGACGGACTGACTAACCACGTCCAGTCTTTTTAACATTGCCTTCTTACCTATATAAGGCGGGTGGGTACAGGGAACGCGTGGTAAATACAGTGCAAGTCTATCCGCCTGTGAATTAATTCACGCGTAAGTTGGCGATGTTGTCTCAGTTCCGTGAGTCGCGTAATGGACGCCGTGATTTGCGACGGCTAGACCCTCTTATTGCGTTCACACCACTTTATAGCAGTTTTATCTGAGTTAAGAATCCAATCCAAGCCAGAACTGCTAAGACACTGTTTCAACAAACACACACGCACTCAGAAAATTTGTCGGTCACTTCCCATCGCACGTACATCTTACAGCACATTAGGCCGGCCAAGCTAAAGCAGCCAGCCTTTTTGAAAGCATGCCGATTACGGCTGAAATGTGCGCAATTTAAAGTGCGGATGAAGAAGGCCAACCGAAGGGGCATCAATTGGAAAAACCACCTAATCAGGCGGTTTGTTTAAAACGCAGTCAAACTAGTCATTTAAATTCCGAGGGGTTTTTAATCCCTCAGTTTGCGTCAGCAATTTCATGATTCTGACAGCGACGTAACTTACTCTTGTAAGTAGAAGCAGTTCATTCTACTCTGGCGCAGCAGGGCGAAAAACCAGAAATCGATTTTTGATAAAAAGAAGTATAAGACAGTGTAAGCTAGAAGAGGCTGAACAAGCAATTTAAATCTCGTTCTCCATCCTTGGATTTCTGGCAGCAGTGGAGGAGGGAACAGTAAGAATGCGAAATCGGAACAGTTGATCAAGCAGAAGTCGAGTCGGGAGTGTGGAGAGGTATCGCTGACCGAACGTCGGAAGCAAGTGCCGTCGTTTCTGGGTTGATCGGTTAGACACCTGGTCTCAAGGATTGTAAGCGTCTGCAATGACAGGCTCCCGGAGCCTGGTATGTGCTGGAAATTCTATGGCACCGGGTTCTCTGTTGATAGATGCGCATGCGGTCCCGTTGGGTATACAGGTCGTGAACATGGTTGCCCAGTGATCCTCGTTGGCTTTCTGATTCGTTGTGGTGCTGTTACTGTTGGTTAAAATTCTGGTCTCCCTTGTTTCTGTCGGCAATGCCATTCTGCCTATATCATGCGCTGCTGTGCGGCTGCTGGTTGGACTCGAGAGAGAGCTCATAAGGCACAACGGAATGCGTGAGTTCCGTAAGAACGACCGGTGAAGCTTCCCAACCATCCTGGCCAAGTGCTTGTTGCAGATGAGGGGGTGTGGTGGCACGCCTGGATACGGGTTCGACTGTGTCAGTCACCTGTGACTTTCCTCGCCTGCGGCCTCCTTGACTATGTCTTGACAACGGGCGCAGATGGGGGAGTAGGAGAGAGTGAGATAGAAGCTGTGCAAGTGTACCATCATTATAAAGTAATCCCACAGACAAGTCACCATGCCTGCTTCAGCTTGCTATGGAGCACACGGTGGACATCGTCGGGCACGAGGGTAGAACTGTTGATTAGACACTTAAAAGTGCGACTAGACGACGGTGACAGTCATTGCAAGGGTTTTACAACCAGTGGCAGATTACACAATTCTATGAGTATGTGCAAGCGGATAGACTTCGCTCTTAGTTGAGAAGCAAACGTAGGATACGGATAAAACATTTGGAAGGTGGACTACAGAGATGATAGGACTGTTTTTGAAGGACACAACCAGCAATCTGTTGACCTTCTACGGAGATCCCGTTGCTACACAGTGCGGGCACCCATTTGATTACTAATAAATGAAACCATACGTAACGGGAACACCAGCATCAATACAATTCGAAACTTGGACATTGTCATTCCAGCGTTCAGTTTTTATTCCTAACTGACTCCCAAATCATAGTTCCCTTTTTAAAAAAATCAGCTCAGCCGAAGTCCGCGCTGATTATGAAACATGATTGCACGTCGTCTTTCTTTTCAATTCCATAAAGAAAATGGATCATGTTTTTGTGTCGACTAAAGTACTTATCTTTTTTGCACTTTTATAACATCTGCCGTATGGGTCAAAAATTTGACCCTGGAAAGTTCCAAATGCAACCATATGACTCGTATGCTTGGTATTAGCCACAACAACTTCGGTAAGATATGGTTTGGTAGCTCCACCTGATGGACATAATACTGTTGAGGTTGGGGTAAGGGTTATGATTAGGAGCTATGGTTAGTGTTTAGGGTTGGGGATTAGGGTTAGGGGTTTTCGTTTCGGGCTTAGTGTTTAGGATTAGGGGTTATAGTTACGGGTTAGGATTAGGGGCTAACGCAATTATTTCTCAACCATTCGAGGTACAACCACGCCTTCCCAGTGCCTTTTTTTCGCATGCAACTACTTGATCTCGTCGCCTGTGCGTTCCCCAGCCCCACCTGTACAAACCCCTATTACTACCGGTCCCGTATTAGATGTGACTGGGGTTTGTTTACTTGAGGTGGGGCAACATAATTACATCCGGCCCTACCTTCTAGGTCCAATCTCCGTAAGGACTTTCGAATAGTTGTCTTTACTAAATGCACGTCACCCTGATAAAACAGTCAGCCACCTGGTAATTCTAACTTATGCTTTGTTAGGACCAAAGTTAACTGCTATCAGGGTTAGCATAGACTAGTTTCTGCTCCTAACACTCCATGCTTTTTTTCACATTCGGAGCACATCAAGCGGGGAACTGGGGTTTTATGTGATGCAGAGTCAACTTTATTTATTTACCACGACCACGCGAAAGTCCTTCGACATTCCAGAAGTTTGCTACTTTGCCTAGCGGAGAACATTGACGCTGATGCAGGCGACATATTTGTTCGATTGGTAGGCGCTCACATATCGTCAGCATAACTTCTCAGGCTGGAGACTTCATAGGGTCCCTATGCAATAAGATAAAGTTTGACTGAAACCAAGACCGTGGAGGAAAACGCTCAGATTTCCCATCCCCTATGCTTGGGCCAAAAATAGCATAGGCATTTTGGCACGGTAACTACCATCCCTGCAGCAGCTGCGTGAACTGTATTTTGATTGGTCTGCTTTTCCACGTGGGAGAGAATCAGAAGCATCATATACGGTCGCAGGCTGCGTTTGGATTGGATGCCATCCGCATCCAACTGCCAACGGCTGCAGGGCAATGTTTTGCTGAGAAGGCTATTCCCGGGTTTTTAAGCGTTTAAAATTTGCCTGTTAAAATATTCTAGGATGGGCGTGGCTGGGTGTACGTACCATGTCGTTCACTGTTGTAAAGGCCCCAGATCTGCACTGTTGGGGAGGCTGTACGCCAGAATATGTAACAGCTCGATTTTGGGAAAGTTTTAGCCCGCAACAGTCAAATGATATTTGCATCTCGTGACTTACCAGTAAGGCTATATAGATGTCAGCTCAGGATGTAGATGTTAGTGAGTTGCCGTGAGGACATGTACTGAGTCAAGCGGCTAGATCGCATTTGGTAGCCAGGCCCCGCATTACTGGTGGCTAGGGGGGGTTTGTTTACTGGGGCTATTTTGTGGCGCTCCATTATCACATGTGACCCACTTGGCTTCCGTTTTACGGTTGAGGTTAGGATTAGGGTACCAATTAATAGTTTTCGATTTTCGGGTTATGGTTATGCATTTAGGCTTAGGTTTTCGAGTTACGGTTAGGATTTGAGCGTACGATTAGGTTTTAGTATTGCGGTTAGGTTTTTCAGTTACGCCTATGCCTAAGGGCTACAGTTACGTTTGCAACTTCGGTTAGGGTCAGGGTTGTCGTTAGGGTTAACGGTTAACGTTTAATGTTGAGATTAGGGTTACGGTTAAGGCTAGGATTAGGGTTAGGTGGCCATCCGCTCCCTATTCCTGGCTACCAAATGCGATCTAACCCAAGTTGCTTTGTTATGGATCGTGGATGGTCATTGGCCAACCGAGAAATTCTAACTGCGAGACAGTTCTTTCAGTCCAACTGAGGCAGATTTATTTAATCCAGATGAGTTGTTTGTCCGTCAGACCAGGTCGCAGAACAGACTGCGTGCGCAACGCTAGCTTAAAAGCTCAAGACTGTGAGTGTGAATAGTTGTCACGTGGAAAAGATCAATAAAACAATCTGGCATGAAAATCCAAGGCGGTTTTGAAATCAAGTCACACTGGCGTCTGAAACTCCCGTCTGCTTCTAAAAACGTCTAGTTAACAGACGTGAAACATGGCGTCATAGAGTAGTGATCTGTCGTTGGAAATTAAGGCCTTTGCTGCCATCCGCGGTACACATGTAATACTAGGGGTCACTGTCGTTCCTGATGGCTCATCGCCAAACTTGTGATCGCTAATTATGGTCCTGGTGGTTGTAACAATGAAGACTTATCTTTTCGTACTCTTAAACAGAGTCCCACATTTTGTGGGTGAGGGGGGGAGAGGGTTTTCATCTAGAAGTCTTAATCCTGCAGCTACATTCGAACGGATGATACAGGGCTTTGTCTGATAAAGATGCTTAGTAAAGGGTTGGGGCAACGGTAGAGTGAAAGACCAAACTTAACTGTCGGTAGACTGTGCATCCTGTCATATGGGAATGGGCGTAATGTGGGCCAGAACCCAGACAATAAGCTGACGGAATGCATTAGAACACAGAAATTGGCTGGATTCTGCCGAAAGTCTTATCGCACGCTTTCGAATGGAAGCGGAAATGAGCGCGTTAAACAGCATATGAATAAAAAGCAAATTTTCGAAAAAATAACGGAGTTTAAATAATGGTTTGAGGTCATGTGAAGTAACTATTGTCGGCAGTATAGTGTCTGCAACGATTTGCATGTGCACGCAAGATATAATTCCATATGACACGGTCCACAGTCTATCGACAGTTGAGTGGGGTCATTCACCATACAGTTACCCTTCACCATAACTGATGAATGCTGTTCTTACTGCTTGGGAGGACGGTCCGAGCAAAAACAACCCCAATCCTGAGTCTCTGGGTATCAAAACTTGCTCATATAAACAGTCATCGTTACGATTACGTTTTGAATTTGCACATTTTGGATGCAACTGCTTGAGAAACAAGCTGATAAGTGAACTGAAACACGACATCCAGGGCCAGAAGAGGCTGGAGCCAATGGGATACAGACCACGCCAGCTTAATTATTTACAATTTACTTTCAACATGTGCTTTGGCCCTTGTGGCTAAACAGGTAACCTGTCGGAAATTTGAAGACGGTATTGTCCAACTACACTTTGCCTAGAGTGTTCAGTTATGCCCCATCTCGGTCAGTATTCATGTTTCTCTCTTCGTGAATGGCTTCATCAGAAGCTGCCTTATCGATGGAAACGAATAGACGAGTTCCGAGAAACGGTTCCGAACAAAGAGATTCGATATCTGGGAAAAGAAGTTTATCGGCCTGAAGTTTCGGTTTCTCACTCGAACACATCATCATAGACAGCCACAGGTATTGAATGGTGGGGGTGCAAGGAGAGCATTATTTACAGCCTGCAATTGCCATGCAGCCACAGACGTATTTCAATTACCCGCATTCACATTCATCTCTGGGGGGAGGGGTCGCATTTGATGCCACAGTTGCTTATTCACCCGCACCGCAGTCGTTATTCGCCGTGAGTTCACCACGATTGTGATTTGTGACATCATAGTTACTCATTGCATCATATGTAACTCTTACTTATAGTAAGCCTGTGGTTTTATGGCAGCCGTTCCCTGCAAATACTGCGCTCCTTCTGCTTCCGTCGCTCCTTATCTGCCACTTGTCTTTACTTGCGTGTTCAAATGGAAATTCGAAAAGTCGGGCCAATATAGTTCTTGTGACAGTGATCGCATCTTTTCCTTATTCTTAACCTACCCTGGACAACAGGTGAGGTTTCATCTGCTGGCTTTTTTGCGCTGCCAGAAAACTTCATAGGAGCATATTTGAAAAAAAACAGAGACATGCCTAAGGTGCGCTTCACTCACACTTTGGGGACCGAGTTCATTTCTTTTGCACCTGTGACCCATGCGGCACCTATGAATTCTTGATGAAAGTTGTTGAGGTCAAGTAGCTCCGACTACTAATCCGCATTTGTCAGAGTGTGCTTTAATTTACAGCCAGGTTAATCCACCCAACGCAGCCTACAGGTTTTCTGAGACAAAACCTTCACTGCAGCAAAGAGACGTAGCAAACTAAATCCTCACCTGAATGGCGTGATGTGCTAACAATGGGAAGAACAGTCCGGTCGCACACGAAATCCGTCATAAGTTAGCCGTTCTTATTACAAGAATAAGAAAAAATATTGAGAACGAATATGTTCTGTACTCCGTCATTACTTTTCAGAAATGATTTCTGCCTGCGGTTTCTGAGAAATGGACGAGGAAGAACTGTGTCCACTGTTAGCATTCTACTAGTGGGCGAGAGTTATTAAGTCCTATTCCGACATCTTGCTGCGGGTAGCTTCTTAATCCATGCGCGAAGTAATCCTTTGTTGGCAGCATTGGCCTTTCAGGCAAAGAAAGGTTAATGTTCTCCGTCATCTGCTGATAGCTGAGTGACCTTTGAGGTTTTCACTTGATCATCTCATTAATTTTCCAGATCTTACCTCTTTCAACTCTACCCCTCTCCCCCACCCCCACCTACAGGAGTTGGCAAACTGGCGTCTCCGCATGGTGAAAGAAAAGGCTCGTCTTGTTGGCAGCTGCGACGAACTGCGAGGTTACCTACGAAGCATGTGGACTCGTCTGGGAAGATCAGAGAAGGATCAGGAGGACTTCATCTCAAAGTGTTCCGGCTACAAGCCCACGGTGCTGAGCGCTCTCGAGGTGAGGTCTGCGACTTGAGCGATGGAAGCCGCATTGTGCGTAAAATTCCTAAATTTAAAGCGTCGGGAATTTGGTAAGCCTGCGGGTGCAGTCAAAGCAACACGATAATCATGGCCTAGTCACTTCAGAGAAAGGGGAAAACACTAGTCGGAGTCGTGTACACTGCAGAGAAGTTCAGTTGTAATCAGAACTCCCGACGCGTGGCTGGTCCAGGGTCTGCTTTTGGTCTGTTCGCCGGGATAATATCAGTGTGAATGAATAAGCCTCATGAGGGAGTCAATGGACACCAGCTTGGGAAGTTGATTTGGGTGGTTGGAAGTTTGTGGACACCTGTGATTTGCTGTTCTGGAGACTTCATGCGTGAGCGCCAGAGGCAGATGGTGTGAGGCATTATGCGCTCCTGTTAAATAGCATTTAAAGGAAATTAGAATACCACGGAGAGAAAGGGCTCAAGTATGTATTGGCCAATTACTTTCATCAGACATACCTAGGGCGATAGAGAGACCCTACTAGGAGACGTCTAGTCTGCTTAAACAATGAGCGCCGCAGGTGACCTTGAAATCGTACCAATCCTGAAACCAAGCAATACCAACTGGTTGTTGTCATAACACGTTAAGCCAGGTAAGAATGGCGTTAACAGGCCTATCCTGCCAATAGTAGGAAATGGTGACATTCTGTGTAGCCGAGTAATGTACTCGCAGCTTGGCTGATCGATAACTGGAAGTCATTGCTGGAGACGGAAAGCATCCAACTATATGTATTTTTCAGTGGACATTACTTTTGACTATTTCAACAGCAGGTTAGCTTTAAAAATCTCGTAGATCTCTTTGAATAATACAGTTAACGAATTACAATTTGATTGGAGTCCCTGAAGCCTTCTACTGACTTTCTGTCACTACAGGATTAGCATTCAAGTTCATCATCAAAGCCCAAAATACGCACAAAAAATCATTTTAATAAACGGAATTTGGTTGATTAACAGCCACGTAGTTATTTTTGTCTGCACCATCGAACAAAGCGGCCGATCGGCACCCACAATCGCAAGAACTTCTAACTAATGTACTGAGTCGATTATGCACTGGATAACTACGACGTAAACAGATACTAGATACTCATACTAGATGACCGTCCACGTGAGAGTTGGTTGCGTCTTACAATCCACGGAATGGATGTTGAAGCAAACCGCCCAACTGTTGATGGTAGACTTAGCGCTCAAACTCGGAAAAACGGACTCTTTTATCCTGCATCGTGAATCCGTGATGGACTGTGTTAGACAGGCGGATGATCCTCGTCATGACCGACGTGTCCCCTGACCGCTTGACTCCATGTCCTAGCATCGATTTTTTCCAGACGAGCGACAGCGCATAGGACTAACGCCAAATTGGAGGCCGTAGCTCACTGCCGAACACCTGATTGCGCCCGTAAGCTTTGAGGGTCAAAAATTCACACAGTAGACGAGAACTGCAGGCGACGAGAGCTGCTCAGGTCACAGTCCAAGGTTCGTGATCGGTCAGTTGACAAGATTCAATTTGGGGTAACGTAAATTTCTACTATCTATAAATCAGTATCGGTGCGTTTATAGATACTCAAAAGAGCGTAAAATTCGGCCAGTTCGGCGCACCTTCGAAGGAGGCGTCATTTTCGCACTAGATCTCGCCAAGTGCACATATACCCGTGACAGACGTCAGACGGGTGACCTACACCAGACCAACCCTACGAGAAATCTCGTGAATCGGTCACCGGCTGATGCTGCATGCATTGTCCATCTACCTATGAAACAGCCCTTTTCCCTATCCTAAGCTGCAAAGCGAAGTTAAATGGTTTGACTTGGAAGGCCGTCAACTGGCTGGCTGTTACGGTCCGCTTCCGAACTGAGAGTCGGGTTACAGTGGTGTATTCGCGCTGTTTGAAATTGATGGCGGGTATCAGATTGCGCTCTTCAACGACCTACGCAAGAATTGCACTGCAAACAACATCGAGGCCAGACCAGGTCCGACACACATTAATTGGACTGCGCATGCGTAACAAATGACTGACATGGAGTGTGATGGCACGCCTAGGCGGATGCTCACGCCGCGCCAGTCACCTGCGCCCAATCTCCGCATCGGGTGACTGACTGTCCCGGACAGTGGACTGGTGCCTGGGACAGGAGAGCCATCGTGAAATCGACCTTGGAGACTATATCCCTACAAAACTCAGAGTATCTTCTTCTTTATCAACTATTACAGTAGGTTGAGTATTGTAGTTTAAAAGGCCTGCAACCGATGGAATAACTTGGTCTTTCTCTCAGGACGTGGAGTCAGGCTGCAAGGGTTACGCGTTTGTGCGACCTCAGTGGCTCTCCCATTCATCCGGAATCCGAGTTCCCGTGTAACTTTGGCACATTTGTGCTGACAATTGCGTGTTGCATACGCAGACTCGCGGTTCACCATTACCTGATCCCGTATCAGGCCTTCTTTGATTTCTCCTGACATCGGGCTCTGGTGGATGGGAGTGTAGAAGGTGCGGAAGACGGTGCGCACCCATCACGTTGTGCAGCAGAGGGTAAAGATGGTTGGAAGGCCGGTTCACTCACGTAGTGGATAGAATATCATTCTTCTATAAGTGAAGAAGAAGATTCGAGCACTGGAACACTTTGTTTATTGTCCTGAGCTTCCAAACAGGAGTCCGTCGTCAGAGGGAGTTGCAGCAACAGAATAAGCGACAGTTATGTGGCATTCTCTGCCATACATCAGGGACGTTTCAGAAGCGACCGAGCGCATTGCTGTGGAGCTAGGTGTTGGAATTGCACACCGCCCCGAAGACACTATGCTTAATAGGGTCATGAAAATCAAAGACCGGTTAAAACCTGAAGAGAAATCTGAAGTAGTGTATCGCATTTCGTGTCAAAATTGTTCTTGTAACTACACAGGGCAGACTGGGCGCATGCTCGGATCGCGCATACACGAACATAAGCTGGCTGTGCGACGAGGCGACGCATTATCACAAGTGGCCGCCCACACCTACAAAATGGGTCCCGAGTTCAACTTCACAGCCACCAAAATAGTCGCCCACGTTGGAAACAAAACATGTCAAGAATTCATCGAAGCCTGGACCTTGGATTAAAACTCGGCCAAGCGATTTGGCGCCGGCGTACAGTGCTTTGCGTAGTCACTTTCAGTCTTGCGTCGTCGGTCGATGATTGGCCTGCATGCCTTATGACAGTTCGACCATAGATTTCGATGACGTCCACCGTGTGCCACACAGCGGCAGCAGCGGTGGGAGCAGTGACGGTGACAAGTCTGAAATCTCAGGACAACAACCAAAGTGTTCCAGTGCTCGACTCTTCTTAACTTATGCATACACCTGGAACTCAAAATTTCGCCTTCATCCGTGCAATTCTTTGCTCTGACTAACTGGGAAGAATTGAAGTCTCGCCCGTGTCCGAGCATTCGTCGCCAGCATGTGATAAGTTCGTGTAGACGGATTTTCCTCAAATCACCCATCGTGTTAGCATTTTTTGCCGAGGCTTATGTCCTGAGTAATGTTCACCAATAGTGTACCTTAAAGCCATACATGAACATGAATTTATCGTCGAGGGAAAGGTCGATATTTTATTGCCGTAGTATATAACACACGAAAACTGCCTGAAGGGAGTTTAGTAAGCTCGGCAGGAAGCGTCTGCGACATCTGTTTCTGCATCTGAGGAATCACACATCTGGATATGCAGTTTTCAGGAGGCTGCTAAATAGGCTTCTAAACGAAACTGGAAAAAGGAGGACATTTCTCTTGTGCCCCTCACACCCTCTTAAATACCTGTTCAAAATATGTGCACACAAGTCTAATTAAACCATGTCCCTAACGGTAAATGGTGAAGGACACGTTAGTCTCAAACTTCCGAGGTTTTTTCGACGCCAGGCGGTGGCGTATATAACCTGAATTTATGCAGTCCTCTCAGATCGAATAGGGGATCGGTAATTAGGTTATACCTTCATGACGACCGTTAAAATCGCTATCTAACATCTGTAAACGTGCCGACTTATATACGAATTACAGAAACCTTGTGCTTCAGAATATGCCTCTAATGACCCCTTTAGGCCGAAGCCGATGCCTGTCGAAAGGAACGCCTGAAGACAATTCGTACGTACCTACCACGACTGAAGGATGAGGCCACCGAACTGGCTCGATCGTGTTTCGTCGAAGCTCAGGAACTGGCCATAATTGAAGAATTTACTGGCAATGATGAGGCGTTAGTTGACTACCTGGAGAAGCGTATTGAAGAGCTAAAGACCATTTACCAAAGACATCGCCAGGTCTATGACGGTATCGCCAACTTCCAGAGTCTTTGGAGGACCTTTCTGGAGGTGGAACAGCGGATGAGAGATCCAGCCATTCTTTCCAATCGCGGTGGAATCTTACTGAAGACGGAGAAAGAGAAGAAGCGTCTGCTGAAGGAGATCCAAAAGGCCGAGGCGGAGGCCAACGCTGCGATTGAACATTACGAAAGAGAGAAGGGAGAGGTCTTTCGCCTCTCCAATGGCAAGACCTTCCAGGCCGCCGCTGAGGAACAGTGGATGGAACTGAAGGGTCCTCGTGACAGTTCCAGTCGGGGTGGCAAACGCAATTCCAGTGTGATAGGTCGCAAACCGGTCTCCGCCGGCGGCGATCAAGGACCGCCGGGTGCACCGGTATGATTTCTTCACAAAACAGAAACTTCACACATATTCTTCCTCCCTGCCAATCATCATGGGTGGAGGTCGCATTTTCCGCCGGATGGTTCTGATGACATTGTTTTCTTTTTGGTTTAGGGTCTTTTCTGCTGGTTGTAAATAGCACCGTTCGTTTCGTTTTTTTGGTTTGTGTTCCAAGCAATATCACCTCCTGCTCTCACCAAACCCATCAAGGCTGTGCTTTTGTCGATTTGCCACCTTTTCGTATTTGTTGCTGCTGCTTCCATCTTCCATTCCAAGAGATTCCGTTCATGACAAATGAAACTTCGGCAAGAACCCAACTTCGTCCGGCGACATCTGCCCTTCCTAAATTCTAATGGTTTCAGGTAGCCGCGTCGTGGTTTATTTCCCCTCTCAATATGTTTCTTCTCAATTTTAATTCTTTCTTCTGCAAAGAAAACGTCTTGAGTTTTCCTATTGAATATCACAGTGGGCGAGGCTATTTAATGCGTAGCACACTGCAAAACAAGTAACTCGTCAAGCAGGCTGTACCCTCGAATGAACACGGACTGTCGATCTCTAGGTCCGGCTTTGAGTAAGCTAAAAACCAAAGATCTGTATCCTGACAGTAAGTTTTCGATATTTCCTGTCTGAAACACTGGGTTGAGTTTCTGATGACAATGTGAGCTTCACGAAGCCATCACGTTTCGTTTGCACGGCAAAAGTCACGAAAAGACAACGAAATACGGCATCACAGGCGCCAAATAAAAGTGACGCAATAGCCGACAACTACTTTACTCATTCAACTTATACACCTTAGTAATGGGGTTGGTTATCTCGATAAGAAGGAAATCGCCTATTAAATCCCATGCGATGCCTGTGATACAGTACATTGTGACCAAACTGGAAAATCTGTCTCTATACTCATGTACGAGCATCAACTGGTCTTGAGGAGGCGATACCTGCTGTCTCAAAGGGTCATGTCCACCCTTGACACCGGGCAAAACCTCGCATGGGACAAAACTAGCATCGTCAGAGATTGTCCCTCCAAAAATGACCGAGAGTTTCTTGAAGCCATGCCCTCCGATAAGTTATGCAACAACTGGCACATTGAGTTAGATGCCGTGTACAAACATTTTGGGGAAAAATGAAAGAGTCGAGGGTTAATCAATACAGAATGGCCCACACAACCACATGCTGACACAAACGCCAAATGAATACTGATTTTTCAGCACGATTGAAGTGTTTTTTGTTTTTGCAAATTTACTCAATCTTAACGACGACTGGCGGAACCAAAGTTGAACATTTATCTAAAAGGACTTCTTTATTTTTTCCAAAGAATGCGTTTCCATTCAAATTATATTTCTTGGGATGTCGGACGACGATATAAATATACATATACTTACTCACTCAAAGATGGGGCACACCGATCTATTGGCTTCCCGCAGCAAACAAACGTCATATGGGTGATAGGGGTCACGAACAGGCAATCACCTACCAGGCCGAATTCAGCCAAGCTATGCTAGCAGAGGGGATAGGTGGGAAGCCAGAGATGCGTACTAGCAATTTTTACTTGTATTTAATACGACTGCGATCATGCCTGATCTAGTCGGCCTCGATGATATCCCGAACTGTACCTCACCACACCTAATGATCCGCAGCAGCAGACAAGAACAGTTCAACCCATTCTCCTCGCCAGCGAGGAAGACAAAACACCGATGTCCCAGGAATAACTTTCATGTCCTTGCGAACTGTGCCGAGGCAGTCTATGAGTTAACCCCCTATTCGACGCCTCCAATGGGGTAGCAGTGCCGGATCGAGGGCTGTAACGCTGAACTTCTGAAGTGGACAACGAGGAACGTGCCCAGTCCACCGCAGTCATCATTCTTGGATGAACCGGGTCATCTTCGAGATGTTATCGCAGAATGCGGACTGTCTCATTTGAGACGAAGTCGGTAAACTTCACACGAAGCAGTGGTCACATACCTCCAGTTTTTGCTCGTCCCCCACGCGCACAGCCGAGTACCCACAAATACAGAGGACTGACCGGACAGATGCACGGCAAACACGAATCTTAGTGACGAGTAGATGCTGCGTCGGACCTACAAACGTCCTCTAAGGTTTCAGAAAATCCGACAGACAGCATCAGTTCGGCGGATAATTCCGTCCTTACTCTGTCCATCAGGCAGCAACAGCGTCCCGAAGAACTTAAAATTGTCTACTTCTTCAAGTTGACAGTCATTAATCTCGAGAGATGCCTTCTTCTGGTCAGGGATACACGCTGAAAATACGTTGGTCTTCATAGGTTTTACTGACAAACCGACCGATTTAGCGACCTCGTTCACCCGTGACACCACAGACCGCAGAGCACCAAAACCTGAAGCTGGTAATACGGTATCGTCGGCATAGTTGAGATTAGTCAGTTGGTATTCGGGTGCAAATTCAACACCGTAACCTTCGTGTAGGGCCCTCCCGAGAATCTAGTCAATATCGTAGTCGAACCGAATGAGCGACAGGATACAACCAGGTCGAAAGCCAGATTGACTACCGAAAGGATGTAGAGATTGTTATGGACCTGAACTCGCGCAGTTATGGAATGGTAACAGGCCTTGATCATGGTGATGATTTTTGGCAGTACGACCTCTAGTGCCATTATCCGCCACAGGGATTTACGATGGACATAATCGAACGCGGCGACAAAGTCAAGAAGGCAGACGGCCATCGGTTCCTAAAAAGCCATGGCGGAACTTAAATATGCGCCTTTACGACAGTACCTGGTACGCACATGGAATCAGGCCTGGTTGGGCCTCGTCAAAGATTCACGCACATCCTGGAATCGACTGAGGACAACCGTGAAGATCTTCGCAGCAGCATTGATTAAGCTTATGCCGCGGTGGTTCCCTCATCTTGTCTCATTACCCATCTTGAAAACAGGCACAAGGGCGCCCGAGTCCCAGTTATCAGGACCAACCTAATCTCTTAACGCTTGTCCAGTCATTTTATTGAACTCGGGTGCCAGAGCCGACACAGGATTTGTAGATTTCGGCAGGTATACCGTTCTCTCTGGGCGCCTTGTTGTTACGTAGCGTTTGTATGGCATTGGCGACCTCTCCTTCAGAAGGGAGGTCACATGACACTGCATAGGATGGAGAGAAGGACCTAGTTCGAGCCGTCTGCGCAAACAACTGCAGAGTTCTTCCTTTGATCCAGTCACTGCGGCGTCGCTAGTCACACCCGGGAGTTTTCTCAGATGTCTCATAGACTGATGTTTCCGGTGACGACCGGTCGATGCTGTCATCTTCGTCGGCTCGGGTCTTAAAAAACGACCGGATTTATCTGCTCAGGTGAACATTCAAGTGTATATGAATGTAGATGTTGTACAACCCATAGGCATTACCAGTCTCTGCAACACACATCAGTCAACTATCGTAAACTCAGTTGCGGAGCTTTGAGCAGACTTATTCACCTTCTCCAACCAACGTGAGTAACCCAAAATCAACAGTTGTTTAAAATGTAGTATGACTGGCCGTATGGCGTTAGTTCGAATACCTGGTCAGCAGACGTTTGTTGTGGTGCTAGACGCAAGTTTTGGTCACAAAATGCCAGTTTTGATCAGCAAAGCCCAGCAATCTGTCGCCACTGTCACAAGGAGAACCAACCCAAAAGCAGTCAACAAGATTCGCCAAGTCCATTCCAGTGTGCGGAAAAAATTGGCAGAATAAAGCGCCTTTGGCGCGCTGTTCGACGACTAAAGTTGTTGCGGACAGACGTTCGGGAAAAGACTCTTCTGTTGCAAGCAGGCCATCCGGTCGTTGACTGGTTCCCAATCAAATAAAGTACAGCTCGCTTGTTGCAAGGGGGCAATCGCCACACCGCCTCAACCAGAAGTCGCGTGGGCCGCTGCGGTGAAAATAGGATTTTAATTTCATGAGGACGTGAGTCAGGAAGTCGAACTCCAGACAGACAGCAGGCAGACACGTTGTGTCGATAAGGCCTGCGCGCGGTCAGACTTTGGGTACCAGGGTCCAGGAACGCTCGGAAATTCCAGGATCCTATATCAAGTGTCCGTTTCCGATTGGGTAATTTGGTCCGCATACTATTCGCCGGTGCCACTCCAACCAACGTGAGTCACCAAAATCAACAGCTGCCTAGAATGTAGTGTGACTGGCCGTATGCTGGTAGTTCGAATACCTGGTCAGCAGACGTTTAGTGAGATGCTAGAATCAAATGTTAGTCACGAAATGTCAGTTTTGATCAGCAAAGCTCAACAATCTCTCGCCACTGTCACAAGGAGAACCAAGCAGCCAACGAGATTCGCCAGGTCCAGTCTCCGGCAAAAATTAGCAGAGTAAAATGCTTTTAGCGCGCTGTTCGATGACTAAAGTTGCTGCGCACAGAGGTGATAGAGATGTTCGTCAAAAGACCCTTCCGTTGCATGAAGGCCATCCGGTCATTGACTGGTTCCCAAACAAATAAAGTACAGCTCGATTGTTACAAGAGGACTATCGCCACACCACCCCTATCAGAAGTCCCGCTGGCCGCTACGGTGCAGGGTGAGGTGGGGCTGGCTAGTAGGATCTTTATTTATCGAGAGCCTGGATCAGGAAGTCGAACTCCAGACAGACAGCAGGCCCACACGTTGTGTCGATAAGGCCTGCGCGCGGTCAGACTTTGGGTACCAGGGTCCAGGAACGCTCGCATATTCCGGGATCCTATATCAAGAGTCCGTTTGCGATTGGATAGTCCGGCCCACATACTATTCGCCAGCGTCACTGAAATAGGGCTGCGGTGCGTATCGGTGCCCGCTGACATGGTGGCATACATCATAACACTGTAGTCTTCATGAATTTTTTGGGAGATGTGCGTGCAGGCGGGTCCCCAAAAGTCGCTCAGCTTGTTTATCCGAGGTTGTCTCCAGTAGAGCTTTAGCTGAGGAACCTAACCGCAAGGCAGTGATGACAAGCAAACTCATTTGCCGATGGTTCACAGTCGCTATGTCACAGGGTTTTTAATAAACCTTTCAACGTGCTAGACCTCAGTCCACCGAACTGCGTAACACTGTCGCTTCTGGTACGCAACTGATTACTAGACAGATCCGAGTCTGCTTATTTCGTAGCTAGCCTTCACTTGAAGGCCATTGCACTATCCGCCACCTGTAGACACGCTGGGTGGTCGGCAGACAGGCTTAACGGGAAACCAGTCTTCCCGTGCATGTAGGCCGCATATACACGAGCATATAGGCCACAGTCTTACTAAGACGACCGTAGTGGACACACTCAGACCTCACCGCCTATTCTTCCGACTAGATGGAGAGCAAGGCAGGACTTTGATGGGATTTTAGTTGGGCAACCTGCCACGCTTCCTGTCCAAAGTTTGCCTGAAAGTCTAATGCAAGATGGCACCGAGTAGCTACCATTTACGAGTACGTCTTCGAGTGTGAGACCGGGGACAGCTGTCTCTGAATTGATAAACCATGACAGTTGACTTTCAACGGTCGCAAACTGAAAACGAGGCAGGTTTCAGCCGGAGATGGCATTTTTGCGGCAACGGACAATGTATTAAGAACTCCACGACCGGTTCGCGCGCGTCGGATGCAATGTGATGGACTCGAGATGGATGGGTGGAGTGGGATTTGTCGAATAATTTGCGTTCCTCACTCGATTAAACGTATATTGAGATGATTCACGCCATAGCTCCCACTGGATCTATTTAGCTAGGCAATGGGACCTGGTGTCTGTCTAACATGGTAGGCGATTAGAATGCATTTTCAACGAAGCCCCCAGAACAAGTTGATACTTCCAGGAGGCCCTGTTTCCTTACTACTATCTAGGCTCAGATTTTCGAGAAACAACGGGCTTGAGAGCCAAAAACAGCATACCGTGTGTGACGTACTATAGAGGCAAACTCCTAAATGAATCAATTGACCACAGAAGCGCGGTATACACCATAACCTGGAGCAGTAAAGCGGTGTTACCCTCAGCGACGCCCAAAAGGACCACTCCATCTGCTAGCCTAGCGGCAAATGACGAAAGGCGCAATGGGAGCGATGAAATATGCCATCGGGCCTGACGGATAGGCAGGCGCAGCTTACAGGCGTTGCAGAGCACCGATCCAGTCACAAACTAAATTCGAATTATGACATGTTTCCCGAAATCTACTACGGCTTCACCGTCGCTGCTGTAAAGACGGTAAAAAGCCTTGCCACTGACGGGCCCGGGCTAGGCACCTCGGCGTACCATGTCCCTTTAAATCTCTGTGACAATACAGAGATGGCTGAAATAAGCCGATGTAATCTCACCAACAGTTAACACTGCTTGGAGGGGAACATACACTCAAGGTGTGCGGTTCCATCAGGTGATACTCTAGATAACAAGTGATGACAGACGAGCAGGGGGGGGGGGCTTGCTCTGCAGCAGATTCCTTGCCGGTTTTGGGAAATTTATCTGCAGACAACGAAACCTCTCAATTAACTCAGCATGTTGCTGGCAGCCTTCGGAGGCCATTTCCGTCCAACTGACCTTAACCAGTGGATCTGTAAAGTCTGCGCTCGGAAGGATCGTGGCAATAGCGGAATTTGCCGGCATCTGCTTGGCAGATAGGTTTTCGATTATACCCTACAAATCACGTTCAGCACCAAATGCAATAGTGTATTTTAGGGTAATGGGCAATGCCCTTGATGACCCTATTGAAAACGGTGCATAAAATAAGTTAAAGCACATGAAATTAGACTGTACAGCGGGGAAAGAGGGGCATAAAGTACACATCTGGGCTTAAAGAGGTTCAGGTTTAGGTTCGTTAGGCGTCAAATCGTTGGTTGCACTGTGAGTCGAAGTTGGGCAAGGCGCAGCGCGATTCACCGTGGTGCCCAACTTATCATCCAGGGTGAAGAGGTCGGCAGCGAGCTCGTCTGCGAGTTTTACTGCGACCGCATCGAGTTCTGCCCGTCTCCTCTCTCGTTCCTCTGCACCCGCCTTGGTCACCTTCTCCAACCAACAGAAGTCACCCAAAATCAGCAGCTGTTTTATTTCAGACACCAGGCGAGTGATATTTTCACAGGCGCTGACCTACAAAATTCGAAACTTTGTTAGACAGCACTGTAGTCACACCTAAAAGGATGAAGGAGTAAGCAATTGCAAGGATCCGGTTACAATGCAAATTTCACATAGACGGCCCTTCGCTACGTGGAATGTGGGCCGGATAGATCTGATTAAAAAGGCTGTGTTCCCTGAGTTTTAACATTCAAAGCGACAGAGAGACATAGGTAGTTCTTCCAAACAAGTTTCCATAAGGTAATTAGGCGAGTCTAGTAGAGGGCAGGCAGTGGGATGCTTGGATTAACAGAAGCCAAATGACTATCAAGACATACTGGGTAGTATATGAGACATCCAGACCATTGGTACAGGTCTGAAAGCTTCATTTCCCGCGAACAACGGGGCATGGCTGGGACTCCATAAGACATGAGAATTTGCGAACTACGAAGAGATGAAGTTAGAAGTGTCTGCCAACAGATGCGTACTACTCAAAGTCCTAAAAAATCATTGTTGACGGTTCGCGCCCTCTCCACATGTGGTATCGACGCCAAGTGTACGTAGGAAGTCCGGCTGACTGACTTCGGTAGAAGAGTAGACATGTAAGGATTAAACACAGTCTACCACAACTTACCGAGTGGCGTTTATAACTCTAACAGACATGGTGTCACATTGATGATGATGATGATGATGAGGGCGAGGCTAACAAGCGCCTTCGCAGGGCGCTTTCTTCTAAGCGACACGTCTTGAAGGGTTGAAAAGTACACAAAACACGGCCGACTCAACAATGCGTCATGCATCAGTAATCAATTGGACACTGGATAACGCCAGTTTCTAATTCCTTGATGCAAAATATCCGCTAGCCTGATATCCCAGGGACTGTCAGACCGACGTAGGCAGGCTGTGAGCATGCGTGATCGAGTGCCGACCAATGTGACGCGGATGCAGGCTACGCGCATAGGTCAGATGACGTGTTTGTGAGGGCGCACCTGCCCTTACGTCTTAGAATGTTTCCAAAGCCGCCTTGCTTTAAAAGTCTGATCTGCGGAGACTTGTATGCGATCGGGCAGCCCGCCGCTGTTGTGCCGCCTGCGAAGCTCTGTATCGAACCCCAAGACGACTGCGCTCCAAAAAGCGATCAGTGAGTGAGCCTCTATTATAATAGTTGTCACAGCAGAGACACTAGAACTGAGATTGTGCTTCGCGTCGGCTACTATTTTCGCAGTTTTAGATGGTGGAGTAAGGAAAGGGTAGTGCTACTCGTTCGGGCAAAGGCCATATATAGGCCGGCTATCCTCGCAAAGACGAATCTCTAAAGAAAAGTAGGGCCTTCGACCGGCGACTATTTGCTTCTCAGATTTCGATGCAACGTTCGACTTGGTCGGCAGACACGTCCTTTGCAAGAATACGGCAATATTATGCTCTGGAACCAACGAATGGGATGAAGTCGCATCACGAATTTACGTGCGCCACCGTTCAAGCGGACAGACGGGGTTGAATACTATGCAGTGAATAGCAGCTTTCCAAGTCGTGTAATTTATATAGTCAGTTTAAACCATGCGATAGATACAGCTTCATAAACAGCACTTTACAACTAGGGGAGCATTGAAATAGGGCGGTCACGTTTAGGTAGTGGAGCAAGACTATTTTGACGACATCGTCGTGCCCGATAGCTTACGAGGAAACGCGATTTCTCCTTGATATCACAGTTGAAACCCGCTAATTTGGCTTACCATATAATGCTAATGAAGCAAAGCGGCGTTTGCTTCACCCTCATCGGTAAGTCAAGACCTAAAGTGGTAGCACACTTTGTATACTTATGCTCCTTTGTGTTACTGACTGGCCAGTAAAAGGAGGAAATAACCCTTCGTAGACAACTTAAACAAGACTTGTTTTGTCGCCTGTAGAAAAACCTTTGGTTCCACCAAAATGTTTCGCAGAAGACAAAGTGTCTTGAATGAGATTACATACAGAGCCGGTTGGCACTATCGATGCAAAACGCGTCCTCTGTCAGTTGTCGAACTGAGGATCTAGGTTCCCAGAAAGTCTCCAAGGTTCAGTCTAAGAAATCCATTAACAATGTGGAACGTTACTGACGAATGGAGGCAAACGCTGCTATTGAGGTGAAAGCTCATCATCTCAGACAGCTTAAGAACTCATTCGGACGACATAAAATGGAGTCACCCTTATGCATTCTTGTCGGACATGATGTTGCCGACGCAGTGGCCATGGACCACATCGATAGCCTTAGTCCCTAAAAAGACAGCCCCTTGCGCCTCTGCATAGGTTGGCGGGCGTAAGACCGACAAGAATAGGAATAAGGAGGCCGATGACGACCAACTGAGACTACGCCAGTGATTTCGGAGAGCAAGGACGCACTTCTTCGCGATCCACTGGGCACTCGGCAAAATTAGTCCTGATGCTAGTCGACATGAGTAGATCAAGAGTAAGGGCCGCAAAATGCAAGAAGGGCTTCGGTCAATCGCTTTCCGAACGCACAACCCTAAGTTTTTACAGATCTTTCTGCTAGTTGAGCGAATCGGAAAGTGAGTATTACTTGTCGAAGCACACCTAGAGTATGACATTATTTGAGAGGTCGTCAATGCGAAAAGAACGTGTAAATGCCACGATGTGGGATAGCGCAGGAGAATCCATAGCCACAAGTCAGTGGCATGACAAGAGTCTACCAAATGACAAAAATCGCAGCAAATCGCCTGGTAGGAACAGGTTGTACAACGAAGATGGTCGCATCACCGTCGGCATTGTTATCACGCGTCCAGTGGCAAAAAAAGCTGTACGACCTAATGAAAGCACGAATTTATGCAGAGAAGTAGAGGGGACATTAATAATATTGTAACTTGAAACACGCGGTGGAAGAACAAGCTTACAATATTACAGGACCGGACGTTCATTTCGAAGTTGTCTTGTTCCGCTTGGGTATATGGATTTAGGCGTGCGATAACATCCGAATTCTCGACCTTGTAAAGAACAGTAGAGAAAGTGTTTAGGCGGAATTAATTATTGCCATATTCCTGTATAAAAAGGACGCAGCTCTTGATGAGCATGTTAGCTACCTTGGCACGAGACAATATAAGTTCGAAATTCTCAGTTATTGTTTTCAGATTATCTCTGAGACGAGATTTCAAGCTATTAAGATATGTTTCGCGTTTTCGAAACTGCCCTGATGGGATAGCTGAGGCAGTTCGAGCGGGCATCATTTTCAGAGGCCGGCTGAATGATAAACAACCACACACCGCAAAGCGACTATACAACCGATAAACGAACATATTTGTCCTTCAAGACGCAGATCATTTAGGTGTCCGCAAAAGTCGACTATCTGCTTGGGAATGCGTGAAACAGAATAACTTGTCTAATTCAAAGAAATTCTGTAAAGCAGAATGCGAAACTTACGGGTCAGCATTCTAAGCAGACAGAGCAGAGAAGTTCGGTGGCACAGTTGTCAAACGACCATACGGGGTAAAAAGTAGAAAAAACAATAAATCGCATACCAGCAACAAGGTGTAGATAAATTTCGAGGAGAAGGATGATAGTGCATACAGTAATCCGAACTTAAGGGTAGGATTCGCAGAATCCCTAGTCTTTAGCCCGCACTTCTGCTCACCGCCATGAATCTTAGTGTTTAATACTTCTTCCGAGGTTTTTAGTCCGCATTTTGAAAGCCTATTTCCTTGAAAAACAACGGCGTCCGTTTTACGCACATCAAAAAGACAGGCATTTTAGTTGTTTTTGCGGTCAGACTGCCCTACAGAAAGGATAAGGTCACACTTCACGTCGCTAACAGTATCACTTCCCTTCTAAAACCAGCCCCCGAGCCCACTCTGGTCTTTGGGGCAGAGGTGGGCTGTGAGCGGGCTACCCGGGGATGTGGGCGGGCTGCGTATGCCGCATACAACTCCTCATCCTTCTTTAGCCAATTGACGGCGGAAAATTTGCGCAGGAGGATGCCTCTTCGTCGTCGGTTTTGTACCCCTTAACAATTTTAATTTCCGCATGCTCAGCGCAACCCCGCAAGACGTTAATGTATCAAACTCAAATGTAACAACTTGAAACTCACAAACATCGTATTCCTGGTGTCCCTGCCTTTTAACTGTAATAGTTTAAATGTGTCCTGCGCGACCCCACTATTTCACATAATGCAATATGCACACATAATGGCGAAAATTGTTTTATTGTATCTAAATAAGAAAAATCAGTCGATAAATACGCATAGTAAGAGTGAATGTTCTAATACCAATGGGTCAACGGGATCATTGTGTTTACCACGAACTTCAATCTTTCATGGCGGGTTCCTCTACACAAAGCCTAACCCGTTAAATACGCATTTGATCTAAGTCGATTTAGGTTTCTGAAGGAGGACACTTCGAGGTTTAGAGCCTGGAATTTGTGCTTCATTCTAAAAGTTACACTTATTAATTAATAATTTAGATCCTTTACAGTTTATACTGAAAAATTATACTGCTCAACTACCCGCATCTACTAACAGTTGTTGCATGGAGTGTGCACTAAGACTCACAGGACTTAATTGTTCACAGAAACCAATAACCGTTACTTTAAACCAGGGAGAAAATTTATGCTAATTAAGCAGTCGCAACGCACAGTAATTCATCCTTAACTTTAGAGCTCAAATAGCACCCCTATTGAAGGCAGTACGTACATCAAATATGGTATAATGTTTGCTTATGTTATTTGCTATGCCCTCGAATGCAATCATCATTGGGCAATCAGCGGCGTCCGCAATCCCACCGAGAAAATAAATGCATGTTTTGTAAATAAAGCGACGTAAGTAATTTGCCTTCTGGGCGGTTTCCAAACATTTAGCCCGGCCACCATATCGGTCTTTCGATCCGTGGAAGCAGTCAGTGGCCATTTTACGAACGAAATCATTGACGCAATGACTTAAAGCAAGATTTTGATGGATGGCCTCTGCATGTGTTACAACTGAATTGCACTTAGGATTAAAATTATGTACAGTGAGCATCCTACAAGGGACTGATTGGACATGGACCCGACCGGGCAGGAACTGTAGCACAGAGGCGACCTAAGCATAGTAAATAGAAGATAACCAAAAACTCCTTCTCGTCCCATCCTCTCACAATGCTGGACTATTTTATCTACAAGCCGTAAAATGTAAATCAAATTCGATATTTTCATACCGTCTTTTGCTGGCCACCCTAATGGGTATGCATCAATCGAACATAAACATCGTATGTCTCTGAAGTGCATATAGGCCAGCGCAGGCCGGATGGCCTATGGCTTTCAGCATCACTAGGTGTTCATATTTGCGCCAATTTTCAGTAAACGCCGCTTGTTGTCGCCAAAGCTCATGTAAGAGGGTGACCTGCTTATGTAATTTGCGGTCCATTTTTCACAAATTGACTTTAATTAAACT